AATATGATACACACATAGTGGAATATTATTGCCTTTAAAAAGAAGGAAATCCTGTTATTTGTGACAATATGGATGAAACTGGAGGGCATTATGCTAAGTGAAATAGGCAAGGAAGAGAAAGACACATACTGCATGGTATCATTTATATGTGGAATCTAGAAAAATAAATAAAGTTGAACTCATAGAAATAGAGAGTAGAATAGTGCTTGCCAGAGGCTGGGGGGTGGGGGAAATTGAGATTGGTAGAAGGGTACAAACTTCTAGCTATAAGATGAATAAGGTTTGAGGATCTAGTGTATAATATGATGACTATAGCTGATAATATTGTATTGTATAATTGAAATTTGCTAAAAGAGTAGAATTTAAATGTTCTTACAAAGGGGGGGATAAATATGTGAGGTGATGGATGTGTTTAATAAAAAGGAATACTATGAAAAACCCTATGCACATAAATTTGACAACTTAGATAAAATGGACAAATTCCTTATAAATCACAAACTACCAAAACTCAACCAATATGGAATTTATAACCTGGATAGTTCGATAATTACTAAAAAAATTAGATTTGTAAGTTAAAAGGTCCTAAATTAAGAAAGTGCCAGGTCCACATGGTTTCACTGAGAATTCTACCAAACACTTAAAGAATTTTACAAATTTTACACAGTATCTTTTAGAATACCAAAAAGGAGGGAACACTTCTGTGTCAGGGGTCCCCAAGACCACTCCAAAGCTCAATGAGTCACTAGGAACTCAGCATATAGTCAGACTCACTGCTATGATTTAGTATAGCAAGAGAATACAGAGCAAAATCAGCAAAGGGAAAAGGTACATGGGGTGAAGTTCAGAGGAAACCAGACACAAATTTCTAAGAGTCCTCTCCCAATGGAGTCACACAGGATGTACTTAAGTCCAGCAAAAAGTGACAACACATGTGGAATGTGTTCTATCAGGGAAGCTCATTAGAAACTCAGTTCCCAGGGCATTTATTGGGGGGTGGTCATGTAGGTACCCTCTGCCTAGCACTTACCAAAATTCCAGACTCCCAGAAGGAAAGCAGATGTTCAACACAAACCATATTGTTTGTACAAACAGTTTAGGCACAGTGAGCCACTCTTATCATTCCTGGGAATGGTGGGAACTCACCCCAAATCCAAGTTTCCAGATGCCATCCAAGGACCGACCTTGAAAGCAGGCCTTTCAAAAGACAGCAGCAGTTAGACTTGCTGTTAACTCTTTTCTGCACAACCTGAAAATCAGAAGACTTGAATCTAGCCCCAACATAAATCACATTTGTACAAACAATTTAGGCATAGTGAGCCACTCTTATCAGTTCTGGGAATGGTGGGAATCTTCCTGAAATCTAAGTTCCCAGATGCCCACCAGAGGCCTGCTATGTTAACTCTTTTCTGCACAACTTCCCAACTCATTTTATGTAGTCAGTATTATACCAAAACCAGACAAAAACTGTATGAAAAAAAAAAAACCCTCAAAACTTCTCTCATAAATTCTGACACAAAAATCTTCAACAAAATATTAGTGATATTAGAATCTGGAAAGGTATAAAAAGAATTATACCATGGCGAAGTGGGGCTTATTCCAACTAAGCAAGGTTAGTTCAAAGTCAATATTCAATCAGTGTAATCTACCATATCCACAGACTAAAAAAGAAAAATCACATGATTATATCAATGATACAGAAAAAGAATTTAACAAAATTGAGCATTCATTCATGAAAAAAACTCTCAGAAACTAGGAATAGAAGGGCATGTTCTCAACTTGGTAAAGAGCATCTACAAAAATAAAACTGCAGCTAACAGTTTTCTTAATGGTGAAAGATGGACTGTTTCCCCCTAAGAGAGGGAACAGGGAAGGATGTCCACTCACACTACTCTTATTCAGTCAGCATAATACTCAAAGTTCTAGCCTACACAATAAAGCAAGAAAAGGAAATAAAGGGCATACAGATTGGAAAGGAAGAAATAATACTGTCCATATTCATAGACGGCACGATTGTCTATGTAGAAAATCCCAAGGAATCTACCAAAAATCTCCTAGAATAATTGAGTTCAGCAAAGTCAAAGGATATCAGATCAACACACAAAAATTAATAATGAACAATGAATGAGGAAGCCAACATTAAAAACACCATACTATTTTTTTATAATCACTCCAAAGAAAATGAAATACTGCATACACTTAACAAAACATGTACAGGATCTGTATGCTGAAAATTCTAAAATGCTGATGAAAGAGGTCAAATAAGATCTAAATAAATGGAGAGACACACATATCATATTCATGGATTGGAAGGCTCAATATAGTAAAGATGTCAATTTTCCCAAAACTGATGTATAGATTTAATACAATTCCTATAAAAATTCCAACAAGGTTTTTGTTGATAAAGACAATTTATTCCAAAATTTATATGGAAAAGCAAATGACCTCAAATAGCTAAAACAATTTTGAAGAAAAATGAAGTGGGAAGAATCACTCTACCCCATGTTAAGGCTTACTCTATAGCTATAGTAATCCCTGACTGTTTGGTATTCACACAAGGATAGACACATAGAACAATAGAAGAAAATAAGAACCCAGAAATAGCCTCATACAAATAGCCCGACATAAATATGCCCAACTGATTTTGACAAAGGTGCAAAAGCAATAATTGGACAAAAGATAGTCATTTTAACAAATTATGTTTAAGCCATCAGACATTCATAGGCAAAAATATGAACCTCGACCTTAAATTCACATTTTATACAATTTTTTTTTCAAAATGGACCATGGATCTAAACGTAAAATATAAAACTATAACTTTTAGAAGGAAATATAAGAGAAAATTTGTGGGACCTGGGGGTAGGTGACACCAAAGGGACGATATATAAATGCAGACATTGATAAGTTGGAGTTTATCAAAATTAAAAATTTTGGTCTGAAAAATCTATTAAGAGGATGAAAAGACCAGCTACAGACTGGAAAAAATATTTGCAGACCACGTATCTGACAGATAACTTATATCTAGGATACATAGAGAATTCTCAAAATTTAACAGTAAGAAACAAACAATAGTTAGAAAATGGGCAAAAAGACATGAACAGACATTTTACCAAAAAAGATATACAGATGACAAATAAGCACATGAAAATATGTTCAACATCATTAGCTATTAGGGAAACTCAATTTAAAAGAGACATCAACACACACCTATTAGAATGGCTAAAATAAAAATATAGTGACAATACCAAATGCAGACAAAGATGTGGAAAAACTGGATGTCTCATACATTGCTGGTGGGAATATGAAATGGTACAGACAGTCTGGAAATTTTTTGGCAGCTTCTTATAACATTAAATTTACATTTACCATCTGACCCAGAAATTTCGCTCTTGGGCATTTGTCACAAAGAAATGAAAACGTATGTTTACACCAAAAAAAAAAAAAAAAAGAAAAGAAAAGAAAAGAAACTCTACATGAATGTTCATAGTTTTATTCTTACTAGGCAAAAATTGGTAACGACCCAAATGTTCTTCAATAGGTGAATGGTTAAACTTGTACATCCATATCATAGCAATACTACTACTCAGTAATAAAAAGGAATGAACTATTGATACATGCGACAACTTGGGTGGATCTCAAGGAAATACTGCTGAGTATAGAAAAGCCAATTTCAAAAGGTATGATTCCATTTACATAATATTCTTGAAATAACAAAATTATAGAGATGGAGAACATGTGAACATGTTAGTGGTTGCCAGGGGTTGGGTTAGAGCAGAGGAAGGAGATGGCAGTGACTATATTGGGTAGCAGGAAGAATCTTTGTGGTGGAGGAACAGTTGATTGTGGTGGTTACCCGAATCTACGCGGGTGATAAAATTGCATACAGACATAGAAACGAGTACATGTAAAACTAGTGAAATCTGAATAAGCTCTGTGGATTGTACCAATGTAAATATCTTGGTTATATAAGATATTACCATTGGAGGGAAACCAGGTGAAAAGTACATGGGACTGCTCTGTAATATTTTTTACAGATCCTGTGAATCCATAATTATTTCGAAGTAAGTATAATACATTAGGTAAGTCCGAAGGACTATGACTATTTTAGAACTCACACATTTGCGTATTATAAAATAGAACTACATTTTCAATATGGAAAATAGACAAAATATAAAAGAGCCTACATTTGTGTTATCCTAGAAATGTAAATGAAAACGACAATATGACTCCGCAGTAATTGCACATGATACACAAACCCAAATAGGTAAATCAAAAAGGGTTTGTTGCTTAAACATCTGTATGAGTCAGGATTCCATCAGAGAAGCAGACCAATAGGACATTATATCTATATCTATATATCTAATTTGTTCATTCATTCATTCATTCATTCATTCATTCATTAGAAGATATTGGTTTACACAATCGTGGGGCTCGTGGGGCTGGCTAAGCAAATCCGAAATGTGTAGGGTACGCAGTCAGAAAGGAATGATCAGGTCCACTCAGATTATCCAGGATTATCTCCCTTACTTTAAATCAACTGATCGGCTTTAATTATATCAAAATATCTTCATAACAACGCCTAGATTAATGTTTGATTAAATAACTAGGGGCTATATCCTAACCAAGTGGACACATCAAAAAAGCCAAACAACATCATAAACCATTTGTTTGCAATTGAATAAACGTTTATGTTAATAGGGACCTTGGTTTTATCATTATAGGTGATCTAAGCGCTAACAATTTAAATCAATAGTGAGGGGTGAGTTTTCCACATGAGGGTCCACTTATAGAACTTTGGAGTTGAAAGGGGCCATGAAAAGCTTAGTCTGTATTTGAATACAGTCGAGGCACCTACCCGTGGTCCTCCCTGGCACACAGCCGGGCCGAGGCTCCCAGCGGCAGCAGCGCGCCCAGCAGGAGCAGATAGTAACCCACCTGAAGCACCGCGCGGCGGGTGCGGGAGCACGAGGTGGGCGGAGCCTGGAGGCGCTCAGGCGGTAGCAACAGCGCTCAGCCCGCCAGAAGGGCGCTCGGCGGACGGACGGCGGGGAGCTAGTCGGGTAGGGT